CTGGTCTGTTTTCTCACTGGTCTGCTGCGCTCCAGGAATGGTTTGTAAGCAGGCTCAACCGTAACAGAAAGGTGATCAGAGTGGGTGAGGTGGGGGTTTGCTTATTATAAGTACATGGAGAGTACCTGTGTTGAAGAAGAACATCATGTCATTGCTCAAAGACATTTTGATAACAATCTCTTTCCTGGAAGGGGTTTGTTACTTTACATTTCTTTTAAATACCTTGAAGGTGTTTTGTTGGATTCAAGTCAGGTGAAATAGTTAAAACAACTTTTTTCTTTTTGTTCTTGAAATACTCGTGTGATTTTTGACAATGTGCTCTGGATGATTATCATGCTGAAATATTTCTATGATGTCAGGCTTCTGAAGGGAAACAGCGGTTTGGCATTCGTGATTCCATCTGTAAAGTCATGAGGACACCCTTCGAATTATTTCATATTTATGAATATTACACCCACTTTGGTGAATTTAATTAAGCAATCTTTCTATGCATTGTTTGGATTTTTTAAATAGACATAGTCTAAAGGAAAAAGGGCCACCAAGAGACTGGTCTGTAATCTGTCAGTGAACTATGTTTGACATTATTTATTATTATTATTATTATTATTATTATTATTATTATTATTATTATTATTATATTATTTACTGTTTGCCAGTTTTAGATCTGTTTTCTTTTTATCGTTCAAGGCACAAATTAGTTGAATAGGAAATCTGCAATTAATATAAGTTTGCAAGCATCATAAGGAGTTTTATTTATCATTGTTATGATTACAGACAGTTTTGCAAACACTCAAAGACTGAAAGGGCTAATGCGAAGCACTACTGTACGATATGTTTTATAAATGAAACGTGGAATAACATGACAATAACAATAACAGAATAACATGAAGACCACTTCAAGAGCACATTGTGCAAGTGGAGAATGATTGCACTTTAATGCAAATTTAATCAAAAGGTCATGAAACGGTGGTGTGAAAAAGTCAAAGGCTACACAAAGACCATATTTACTGAAGGACTGAACAAATGCAAAACGTGTATAACTTTGCATACTTTAGCTTTTTATAGCTCCACTTCTTCCTCCACATGTTCATCGATAATTACGTTGCGTGTTCACGGAGCCATTATTTATCACGATTTTTGACTCACTTTCGCTTCTGTTTTTAAATGCAGACATCTTGAAAATCTGATGAATGCAGCAAAAACTTCTTCCAGTCTCCTCCCAGTTTCAGGTGAGGGGCGGGACCCTGAGCACGTTATAAAAAGGTAGTGCGCGTCCCTGAACTCACAGTTTCCCAGTCAACAGGTAAACAGAATTTTCTCACAGCAGGTGAGTTTTGTTCACATAAATGTCACACTGGAAAATGGAAAATACAATTTTTAAAAAAATAATATTTGTTTTAATAATTGCACATTTTACCACATATATTTATTCTATGGCTGTCAATAAATGCCAATGATATTTTTGTTTTAAATAGTACTTTTGTGTCACGTGATTCACAATTGGTCGAGAGAGGGGCGCAGGTGAGGCAGCAAAGTAACCTGGGAGCTCTTCAGGATGGAGGTCAAGTGGAAGGCCGCGGCTCTCCTCCTCGCTCTTTGGTGCTGCTGCGGTAAGTTAAGTCAACTTCTATTCTAAATAAGTTGTTTTAGCTCGCTGTTCATACAGAGGAAAAAAGATTTCTCATGCTGTTTTAATTCAATTTTGCAGATGCTCAGCGCATAACCTCCGTGTCCCCACGCATAGGAAGCGTCAATGGAGCCACACGACTCACCATTCAAGGAGATGGTAGGAGATCCGTAATGATGTTTAGAAGTAAATTTAAAAAGAAGTGTGGGCATTATTTTACTTTGTAAAACAAGTTATGATGGATTCTGAGATATAAGTCAATTTTAAGCTATTCTGTAGCTAAAAGATGCAGCTGAAGAAGATTTGTTAATGCAGTTGTAACTGTCCTGAGAGTCCTTGTGCCTGCTGGCCTGGTGGGATGATGCTGAAAGATGTGACTCTAAGCCTCAAAAACAATTACCTTCTGAGATTTTGTTGCCCCCCTTTTTTCCTTCCAGGTTTTGCACAGGAGCGGCAGTTCCAGCTGAACCCAGTAGACGACATGTTTGGAAACCGTGTGACCCTGGTGTCAAACACCCTGTCAGTCCCCTGTGATGTGGAGAGAGACTCCACACACAGCAGCCAGATTATGTGCTACACCAGGTACAGTCCAGGCATACTTTAGCAGCATGTCTGTATTTACTTATTTCACAAGTTACTTAATTATTTCACAGGCACTTTATTGTCACTTAAAGACCCTACAATATTACAGAAAAACCCCAACAATCAGACGAAAAGCTATGAGCAAATACTTGGCAACAGCAGGATAAAAAACTTCATTTTAACAGGAAGAAACCTATGGCAAAGCCAGGCTCGGGGGAGGCGCAGTCATCTGCTGCAAGTGGTTGGGGG